CCTTATTGCAGAATTCTAAGCCATTGTCAGTTCTAAGGGTTTTAACCTTACATCCAGTTTGATTTTCTACCATAATTTTCCATTCTTTAAACCTGGCATACACATCAGATTTATGTTCTAACAAACAGGCCCAGACTTTCCTAGAAAAGTCATCAATTATGGACAGAAAGTACCTCCTACCCCCATGGGTAGGGACACTGGAAGGACCCCATACATCTGCATGTATGTAGTCAAGGACAGTTTTAGACTTAGGCTCACTAGAATAGCTAGAAACAGGAAACTGAACCTTATGTTGTTTACCTAGGACACAACCCTCACAGAAAGGTATGGGTGACACCAAGTCATTACCAAAACATCCAGTTTGTTTCAAAATATTCAATCCTCTATTACTCATGTGACCCAGTCTTTGGTGCCAAAGCACAGACTTGTCACTGAGTACAGCATTAGCATTTTCAGCAAAAGGTTTGGCATGCACAACATAAAGGTTATTTTGTTTCAAGGCTTTAAACAAAACAAGGGAGTTTTTCAAAATCTTCATACACCCATTTCCCCATTTACCCTCAAGACCACATTCTTCAAAAACAGAAACAGAAAGCAGGTTGTGCCTAAGATCAGGGACATGTCTAACATTTTTTAATTTGAAAACAGTTCCATTTTCAAACTTAAGACTTATGTCACCCACACCATGGACCTTACACTTCTTATTGTCAGCTAGGGACACATAACCAGAATCACAAGCACTATAAGAAGAAAACAGATTTCTAAAAAGAGTCATGTGGTAGGTACAACCTGAATCTATTAACCATTCAAATTCAGTTAAGTTGCTTAGGGCAGAATTAGCATGATCACAGATCATGAACACTTCTTCACTAATTTCCTTATCAGTCACAGAATTGGCATGTTCATTTCTTTTGGGTTGGGTACAGTCCTTTATGAAATGATCTGGGTTCCCACAGTTATAGCACACCCTTTTCCTAGACTTATGCCTCTTCTTGCCAGGTTGTCTACCATTCTTATCCTGATTGTCCTTTTTAGGGTTTTTAGACCTGCTTTTAGACCTTCCCCTAACAAACAAAGCTTCCCCAGATTCCTTATGATGGTTCCTAGAATGTTTTAAGTCAAGTTCTTTACTTCTCAGGCCATTAATAACAATATCAAGGGTTATGTCATCCCTCCCATATTTTATGGCAGACTTAACATCATTATAGGAATCAGGTATAACATTTAATAAGACTATGGCAGTGTAGTCATCTATATGTTTATCCCCAGCTTGCTTAATGTTTTGGATTAGTTTGTTAAAAACATCTAGGTTTTCATCAATATCTTTTGATAGGTCAAGCCTAAACCTAAAAAACTTTTCCAACAAAAACAGTTTGCCAGGAAGGGAAGTATCAGTATATAGAGACTCAAGTTTATCCCAGAGGTCTTTAGCAGACTCAATGACTCCAACCTTTCTTAGGACAGAATCAGACAAGTTTAAATATATGGTTGAGCAGGCTATTTCATTCATTTCAACTTGTTTGGGTTTTTCCTCAGTTTCTAAGTATTGCCCAGTAATAGCTCTATGAACTTTCTGTTGTATTAACACACATTTTATCTTTTGTTTCCAAATGTCAAAATCAGTCTTACCATTAAAAGGCATCATACCATACTGGTTTGAAGCCATAATAATAGTCACAACACAACAGCAGAGATACAGGTAATAAGAGAGCTTAACCCTGATGGTTTGGGCTGCGGACTAAGTGACCACACAGTTCCGGGGCCACTGAAGTGGCTGGCAGGGAATCACTTAGCCCTAACCTCAGGTGCCCTAGCCAAACAGGGGTTAGGAAGCCACACAATTACCAGAACTCAGCCCACACAGAAGCGGAAGCAAAGTTGAAAAAAGACTGACAGAGCAGAGGAAAAAACACAAAGAAAAATAATACAGCAGAAAATAAGTAGGGCACGATACAGCAGGTTCAGAGGTTATCACACAGAGGATAAATTCAACACAGGCAAGTTCACATATATCAGTGGCCATGTTCGACACAGATTGGACCACTCATGCACTGTATCACCAACCTAGGGCTTTTGCAGGTCTTATCTAAATAAGATCTACACATGCAACGGTTCAGAAACTTGGGGATTCTAACCGGTAGTTCCTCAACCTAGGGTTTCGGAATACCCATGCATCACAGAAGTCGGTGGCACTCCGGCAGCCCAAGAGTTAGGGTTTGAGTTTATACCTGAGCGGGTGTCACGGAGAGACAACCCGACTTACCTTCTCCGATGGCGCCTTCAGACGTTACCGGTGTGGGAGTTCTCCGGTGAGCTTCCGGTGTCCGAGAGAGGCAGCAACGTCCAGGCTCTGATACCACTGTTGGAAAACCGGACCGGCTCAGACCTCAATCACCACCAAGCCCAAAGGCTTGCTCACACTCACCACCAGGGATACAACCGGGGAAGACAGAAGGGCGACAGCCAACTAGCCCTCACACAAAGAACCCAGACCCCAGCCCAGAGAACCCACCGGAGCTACAGATAACCCACCACACTACCAGACAAGAGTGAAGACCCCAATAGGAACCCCAAGGTCTCACCGGAGCAAAGCCGGAGCTAAAGCTCAGAGGAAACCGGCACTCTCTCACTCTAGGTCTAGGGTAACCGAACTGAAGCGTCATTTTAGAGAGAAGGCAGAGAGGCAGAAATAGGAGGATTCCAGAAAATCCAGCCAAATATAAGGGAGGGCCACAAGGGATGGGCTGAGTTATAAGACAAAACGGGGGGATGGGCTTGGTCGGGTAGACAGCCCATTTGGGCCAGGACAATTAATAGGAGACCAACTCCATAAATGAGGTGGACCAAAAGGCAGCTCAGGGATGGCCCATAGATGAGGTGGACCAATACCACAACAATAAAAAATTTTGTGTAATTTGTTTTCTAAAAATATTCTTTGTACCGACTCAATTCAGCCTAGTGCTCTAGCTCCGCCCCTGAGTGTGACACATATTTAAATATTCCCCTTCAATCTAAACGAGAGAGGGTGAGGTAGATAAAGGATACGTACGTAGTATAAATGGATCCTAAAGGGCCTCTCGTACATTATAGATGCTAAATTAAATAAACAATTAAATCACAACCAAACTTTCATATGATACCATTTATAATTGAGATTCTATTCTAAAAGATTAATTTGACAGATGTAATTTGAGAAAATGGTCAAAATGATACATGAAGTTGTTTCGACATGAGTAAATAGTACTTCATCTTGCATTTGAAATTTTAAAGTACACATGCAACTTGTATTTTTATAATCAATCGAGTATATTTGCTCGTTCAGAACGTTAAAATAGCTGGTCTAGCCAAACTATCCGTTTGTATTATACAATTGCAGTCCAAGTCACCAAATAATTAATTTATAAACTCTATTTTTCTCCCGTTCACTCACTTTCACTTCGCTCATCATCTTATATTATAAACTGATAGTTTGGGCATGTCAGCTATTTTAACGTTCTAACAGAGCAAATATACTTATTCGACTTTAAAAGTGCGAGTTCATGTACTTTGTAGTTTCAAATGTAATATGTAGTACTTCCTCTGATGGATAGTGTATCCGGGGTAGCTTATCCAGGGGGTTATTATGAGAATAACCTAGAGAGAAGTCAGAGCAAACAAGTAGGAGAGAGAGGCAATTCTATTAATGAACTCGAGATGTTCTGGTCTTTACAAGAGGAATAAGGGTTGCTATTTATAGCAGCAATAAATGCGATGAGGGTACACGTGTCAATAATCTAACGGCCGAGGGGTCACCTCAATCGGGGTGGCACTGACACTCGCATGTGCACCGCATTTAATGCGATGGTTGGCTGTCTCCAAAGGGAATCTTCGATGATTGAGCCTGTTAGCCGAAGGCTTTCCACGCAGCCGAGGGCTCCGTGTGGCCGAAGGCTCTGTATAGCCGAGGGCTTGGTTCAGCCGAAGGCTTCTCTAATGCCAATGGCTCTCGTTCTCTGCCATTTTCTCCTAGTAGCTTCGTATGCTCAAATATGGTTGTTATGTGAGTTTTGGAGCCTTCGGCATAGTGCCGAAGGCTACCCGTATGTGCACCGCGGTTCTCCTAGAGCTTGGGCGGCCCCATCTTGGGCCTCCTGCGCTTCTTGGGCTTGTTGGGCCTGTGATAGAGTAGTAGGAGTCTGTGGACCGGGGGTTCCTGAGCCATATACTCCATCATCCTCCGTTCCATAAAAGTTGCAACATTGGAATTTCTGCACTATTCACACACCGTACTTTGACTATGATTTTCTAATAATATATATAATAAAAATATTATGTATAAAATATTACTCCGTAATAAATTTGTATTAATGTAAATTTCCAATATATTAACTTTTTTTAATGTTTACTAATACGTAAATAAATATAATTACAGTCAAAGTTGCGCATTGGAAAACGTGAAAGTCAAACTAATGCAACTTTTATGGAACGTAGGATAGTACTAATTATCCCACTTGAAACAAGTTCATGTACCATTTTGACCATTTTCTCGATGTAATTCATGATCCACTAGAGATTCTATTTTAGAAGGTTAATTTAATTGGTAGTTGTAAACTTGTATTCATGATTTCCTCCCACTCTTCCTCCTCCCTCTCCTACTCATCCTCCTCCTTCCACCCCCTCTCACGTTTGTTCACCTCAGTCTTCTTCTTATACTTCTTTGCTTTCCCTTCTCTTTGCAGTGCCGCTTTAGTCATAACATTGGTTCTCTTCGCAGCACTACGATTACAAGTCCATGACACTACTAGAATAGTGGCTTACATTGACACTTCTCTAATTACACTATTGATGTCATAAGACAGTAATGATACTTTAAAATCCATCATGTGTAATATAACTACACCAATCAATACTATTGTTGAGGTTTAATCTCGTAGATCCGAAAGTCCAACACAAACTTTGGATATATCAGGAAATGAGACGATAATTCAATGTATAAAAGAAATATAAAAGATGATATTCACGGACACTCAAAAGCCCACTTGTATTAAGTAATTTGATTATTACACTGTAAACTACCCGAACGGTATGTCGGAATCGTAACTAATACAAGAAATCAGAGAGATAATGCTATTCTAGGCTTGAGTCTCAAAATGCTAACCCTTACAATGAAAACTAATCCTTCTATTTATACTAATGGGGGGTATGGGATACTTCATGTTGATTGGTTGCTTTATCCAGCCACTTGGAACCCATGCTCCCACTTAGCTGCCGACATACTTTAGTAATAAATGCTCCCTGTCACTTGTTGGCCACCCGCTGCCCGAACGGGCAGTGGACCCTGCTGGAATCTTCGTTGATCTGGCTTAAGTACACTGGTTGATCCGAACCCCGTTCGGTACATTGACAATCTAGACCATTAATGATCTGGCCCATTAATGATCTGACCCAAATATGTGAACCGATTCGAACCTCGTTCGGTACATATTTTCCCAAGAGCTGATTCACTTTCTGGATGATGGGCCCGTCTATCGGACTGGATATCTTGGGCTTTGGATCCGGGTATTGGGCCTGCAGCCCAATATCCCAACAACTATAATTCAGAAACATTTAATATATAGGATTACATTCTTCTTCCTTAACCCGTCATCTTTTTTGTATCTCATTTTTCTTCACTCTCATCTAGTTAAAACATTCCGTGTTCTTTGTCGCTACCTTGCCACTGCTCGACCGTCAAAATGGATGGATGTGTTCGCTCTTCGAGACATATAGGTTCCTCACAACCTCGATTCGAGCTAAGCCGATTGACGGGTGGAGGTGGATTTCGATGACGGTGTGTCATGGAAATCCCACTCAAGCAATCACTTTATTCAACATCTGGACATCGGATGGAATGTCCAGGACTAGTTTTTTTCAAACAAGAATATAAAGGGTCGTCAACAAAAAGGTACATTAATCCTTTCAAAAAAAAGGTACATTAATTAGGTGCAGCAAATTGCCTGGGTAACAAGGTAGGATTTGAATTTGCACTTCGAAACCCGATCCTGAATTCTATCTTTCACGGTGATATAGCAATGAAGGAAACAATTTCAGAAATACATCCTAATAATACTTATTTAACACGCAATATATATTCCTTATTTTGGTAAAATAATTATTACCTTCATCTCATTAGACATTGTCACATTTGTGTTATACGAGAAATAAGAAAAGTAACATTGTTGGAGACTTGACAACCATGTGTGTTCAAGATCCTCCATTGTGTTCCATATTATGGCCATAGAAGACCTTATATTGTTTGAAGTCAACATGAAACGTCTTACTTCTTCGGATTGTCGAAAGACGATCGACATATCTTGGTATCGTATGGGATGAAACTTCAGGATTGGATCCTCAAGCCTCGACTCTGCAACATGAGTGGATTTGCTACTTTGTTAGTATTGTATTACTTTTAAATTTAAGGCGGAATTAATGGAAATACTGTCAAATTTGATGGAATAGCAGAGTCAAAGGGAGAAAGAACATAGCATAGGAACACAGGGCCATCTAATGAATTTGGAGGCCTCAGTTCCAAATAGAAAATTGAGCCCCCCCTAAAACAAGAAAAAATACAAAATTTAACTATGAAATACAAATAAACTAGATAGTTCAATATAATATATGTTATATGATGTTTAAAATACACAAATTAGATCGACAACCTCAAAGTTATATATACCTTTTGGAATTTTGAATAATACATAACATCTAGAAAATCAACTTATAACTAATACTACATACTAAATTCATGGAGACCCCCTAAAAGAGTGAGCTCCGATGCTAAACACCTATTGCACCCCCTTGTAGGAACAGAGCATTAAGAACAGAGCATTAAGAACAGAGCATAAGAACAGAGCATATACCTGGAATGGAAGAAAGAGTGTCTTCATGTTCAAGAACATGGAGTAAAACTGGGAAGTAAGCAGCGCTGGAAGGGCGTAACACGATAGAAGGCAGATTGAGAAGAGCGGCGACTTGGTCAAAGAAGAACATGAGGTTGTCATAGATGATACAAGAAACCACATCTCCCTTCTCTTCCAGGTATTCCTGGAGGGGTACCCTACAATTCTCATTCATATCATAGATGGTTTCTAGTCTCCCTTTCAAGCCTATATCACTTGCTTTAATTATCCCATCTAAGTTTATGCTTAAACTGTGTCCCAAACCTTGGAAGGAGAATTCAGGGTGATTTGAAGGGTCAGGGGCGTTGCATCTGGCGTGGGCGACTGTGATGGAAAAGCCCTTCGAGTGAAGGACGTGTCCCAGTTGGAGAATAGGGGTGACGTGCCCTTGGAAGGGGCAAGGCACCAGAACCACCAAATCCCGCAGCCGCCTTTCGGCTTCGCGCTCCATTTCTGGCTGCCTTTCTTGGAATTGTCGGAAATTACTGGTAAATGTCATGCTTTATACTCGTAATCTATAAGGAATTGAAGCTTTGCTGCAAAACTAAATCTTTTGTCAGGTGAGTACCTTCCACATCGTTGTAAGGTAATTGTGATTTTAATATACGTAGTACTCCATGATTTATAGGAGTTGCAAGGAAAACAATAAGGAAACCTTTTTGAGTAGTTCTCCGTATTTTAAATTTATATGTGGCCAATCTAATTTTGTTTTATTTTAAATTATGCGGAGTATTTAACATACCCCGTATTAAATTTTGACATTTATTCGAGTATTATAATAGACTTTTCAGAAAAGTCGTTTAGATAATAATAAATTAAATATTAATATGTGTGATGATGAACATTTAGGTCCCATAAAAAAATGCACGTTTACTCAAAAATATGTAATTTTTTATTCTACGCGATAAGTTATGTAATAATCAAAATAAGTAAGGTTGAGATCACTTTTCTGCTTAAATTGGTCGAAACTACTGTAAAAGATCATTCTAGTTATGTTAAATTTATTTTTTTCATAATTTAGCAAAATCAGCTAATTCAGCCACTTAAGTCGAAGTTTCATAAATTTAGCATAAATTCAGCTAATTCAGTACTACCAAACGGGCTCATAGTCAACATAAATACATTTTAATTTATCATTTTTATCATGTCCAAATATTGTTTTTGCAATTTTAACATTAACTTCAATACTGATTTAAGAATTATTGAGGAGTTAAATTAATTTTATCATCAGCTTAATATCGATCGTAGACTTAATATAAGAACTTAAAATGAGACTAAAAAAATGATAACGTTTTTCAGCTAATTCAGCAACTTAATATTGTTTTTTTTATTTAATGAGACTGAAAATGATAACGTTAAAACATATCAGAGTGAGGAACGTGACATGCATGATATTGTTTCACAACGTTTTAAACCATTTTAAAATGAATTATATCGAACAATTTTTTTTTTTGCAACATAGATCGAACAATATTGAACTAGACATGATCATATTATTCATATAATCATAGAAAAAATATAAGCAAGTAGTCTGGAAATAATTAAAAGATGAGACTACAACGAATAGGACAACATAAAAAGAAAAGAAAAATTTTAGGAAGAAAAAATAAAAATTATATGTGGGACCGTTTCAAAGAAAATGAGATTTATGGTTGAATGATTTACAAAAAAAATTAACAAACCGGTCAGGGACCAATGAATGAAGATGAGACGCAAATGTTGGATTATTCCTGAATAACGATAATGTGAGACTATTGTAAGAAGATTATGCGCAAATGTTGAATTATTAATTTCTATTTTGCCTTTATTATTGTGCCCTCGGTCCAAATAGACAGAACCAGACAAATGCTAGAGTAGTTCAGGCTTACACACTGGGACGGGGCAACATTCATCAATGTGGTGTCAATTGACACCATTAAAATATTTTCTTTAATTATATATATATGTAGCCATATTTAATTTTCTAAAAAATAAACTGACACCACATGTAGAAACACAATGAAGGCTAACATACAGATATATTCATGTAATTAAAATATATGTAGATGTAATGTTTTATAAAATCCTAATCATGTTTATAAGTATTCCGTATTATTTATTAGTTTCACTTCGTGATGCTAATCAAGTTTTTTAATGATCATATTTCTTATTTATTTATAAGATACAACACACACTAAAATTAAACTAGCCAATTATGGTAACATATCATATTCAAACATTTTTATGATTATTTATTTAAGTTCTGAGATGTATGACGATTACTCCGTGAAAAAGGTGTTTCACTCAAGTATATTAGTGAAAAGGTATCTTTATACCTTTTTTCATGTCGTCGATATGAATTGTGAATTTTTTTTAGTCTTGCATGCTTTACATATGGGTGAATTGCCCTTGAAGGTTCCTTTGACCAAGGTAGACTTTTTAGTTCAAGTCCATAATTTACCTATTAGATTTTTTACTATGAACATTGCAAAGAAAATTGTAAATTTTGTAGGAAAATTAGTAAAAGTTGAAGAACGTCAATTTGAATATTCCTAGAGGTTGTATATGAGATTAAGAGTTTGTTTGGACAGGCAAACCTTTGAGAATGAAATTGAAGTTAGGGAAAGATGGTAAGGAATAGTTCAAGGTTGATTTCAAATATGAGAAACTTCTAAGTCAAACGATATGGTATATAAAAAGGAAACGATATGGTATGAGGCTTTAATTTGAGCAAGGGGTAGCAGAGACATAGCTATGGGGGGAGGGATAAGTGGTTAGTTCAGGATGGAACACATGCTGGTTTAGGGGAGCACAAGGGGAGGTGTCAACAGAGATACTTGTGGGCTGGGGAAGACATGGTTGGCGGGTCTCAAGAGTGGAATTCAGCTATGGTTCTTCAGCAAGGGGAGTCTTCAAAGAGCTTGGGTGAGGGGATAGCTACTAATGAAGGGGAAGAGCAGAAGAAAAGGCATGTATTAGAGAATCATGAGTAGGAAGATCAGGTTGCTAGAGCTATGGTTGTGGACGAGTCAACAAATGTGGAAGAGGCGAGTCTAGGTTTCTAGGCTCGCTGGTATCTTTATTAGATTTTTTTGAGTGTTTTGCTTTATGTTTTTCTTTGAGGATTCTAGTTTTTTTGGTGGTTTATTTTTGCCTAGATATACCCTGTTGTGGTTCTTTTTTAGGGTCAAGTTCAGGATATAATAAATGACAAAGATTGTAGATCAATCATGGATGGCTTACAAGTTACAATAGTCTGTCTGGGAATTAGCGAGTCACAGTGCTTCTTCAGGGTGATGGACTCAAAATCTCGTCCATGAGCGTATTTCGATCTATGTTTTCGATCTCTTTTACCTACTGAGATTTTGATATCATAATATAAGTCGTTTCTTTATATTCAGAATTTTAACTACTCAATATATTCAAAATTAATCGTAACGTATACAAAGTATATTATTCCAAATGTTTTATTGATTTATTTTTCAATAATTGCTAGAGAGGAGATATAATCTTAGAGTTTACAACCAACCAACACTTAAATTGACCAAGTTTGTTATTTTTATGAAATCACTTTTTGTTACTCAAAACATTCCTATCACCACCAGCCCTCACTTCATTAATGAAATTTGGAAGTGGAAGTGATCCTATGAAGTCTGATAGTTCATCAAGTGCTCTATATGAACTGCCGCCATCTTTTCCGAAGCAATCTTCAATTTTTTGTTTCATATCCATGGCATTCTTCTTCAGCGCTTCTCTCTCATCTCCCACCATAAGTCTTCTAATAGTCTCTGTAATCACACCTCTCTCCAAATTTTCCAACCCCAATCCAACCTTCCACTCTTGGATTAAGAGCCTGGCGTTCACCATTTGATCAGCAATGTGGGGTGTACAAATCATGGGAACGCCTTCACCGAGACTCTCCAACGTTGAGTTCCAACCGCAATGGCTCCAGAATCCGCCCACAGAGCCATGTGCCAAAACCTTCTTCTGTGGCGCCCATTTCACTACTAGTCCTTTGTTTCCGATTCTTTTCTCAAAGTCTTCGAAGAACCGCTCTTTCCCGTGGGAACCTAATGAAAGTCATACACAAATATACAAACTCACATTTATTTAAGCCTCTTATGAATTCATTTAATCATGTTAATGTTTGCACTTTGGGGCATATATCATCATTTGAATCATATTACATGTCCTCTTTTGCTTTATGGTATTTTTAACATTTATTTTTATACAATTTTCATACTTTAAATAATTGTATGTTAAAAAACATAATAGGTCAGACTTGACATCATTAATTAAGAAAAGTCAAATGATCAAGTTTTGTAGGATGAAGGGAGTATAAAATTACAAATTAGACTCACTTTTGATTGAACCAGGACGCACCACCCACACAAACGGTTGGTCACTATCGTCCAAGCCCCAAGCAATCTCTTCAATATCGCTTTCATTAATGGAAACTAAACTCCCAGATGTGCTTACAAAGAGGACAGAGTGAGGAACTTGTTTATCCAACCATGTGAGGCAACCTTCATCTTCTTGTATCAAGCTAGTTGTGCTAGTTGGGGCAATCATGTGAAATGGGCCTACTGGAAAGATGGGCACTTTATAATGTTGTTGAAGCCTTGACAACCATGTGGGTTCAAGATCCTCCACTGTGTTCCATATTATGGACACTGAAGATCTTATATCGTTTGAAGTCCACATGAAATGTCTTACTTCTTCTGAATGCAGATACTTTGGCATATCTTGATACCTCATAGGATAAGACCCTGGAATTGGATCTTGAAGTCTTGACTCTGTATCATGAGTGGATCATGAACAAAGATTTGTTACTTTAATATCTTAGCATTACATGGCCACAAATTTGTAGCATGAAGACTATTAGATTTGTTAATACGTGTGTTCAATTCAGGTTTAGGATACACTTTAAAGAAAATTTTCCCAAATGGAGTAAAAATAATTAAATAAGTTGATTTCTCTGAATATGAATACTATGTGATTTTCCCTACACAAAAATAATTAAATAAGGTTATTGTCCTATTAATAAAATTGTGGTTATATATGGATTTATATTCAAACTAATTATTATTTGGTCGATTCTAGAGAACTCTAGGATAATACAATCACTGAATTTTATCAATCTAGGACCTGAAAGATAAATGAATTATCAATCTGGGACCTGAAAGATGAAATACATCAATATAGGACTCGAATGATGAAAAACTGTCAATTTAGGGTCTGAATGATTGAAAACTATTAATGAACAAAGTTATCATAAATATTTTTTTATTTTTTATTTGAGAAAATTGCACTTTTAGTCCATGAAATAGTCACCATATTGAAATTTCAAACTCGCATTTCTGAGATTGTAAATGTCACCTCTCAGTTGTCCAAATTGTTGTAAAAGTGTTCCTTTGAGGGATGAAATGTACTTTTCGCCCACATTGTGCGTTTTACCCCTCAAAGGACCACCACATTTACAACACTTTAGACAATTGAGGAATGACATTTACAAACTGATGAACACGGGTCTGACATTTCAATATGGTGACTATTTCAAAGACTAAAAGTGCAACTTTCTCTTTTTATTAATGGCAACATGTGTTAATAATTCCATGCCATCTTGATGATAATTTTTTAGAAAATTTTGGCATTTTCAAAGAGTAAAAATGGCATATTCATGATATTTCAAAGAAAAATTACAGTGTGTACATATAACGACATTTTTTCGCCTATCGGAGTTGGTATTGCTGGGAGGTGGTGTGGCTGAGGGAAAGGCCTCCAGTTTTTTTATATCATTAATGTGTTTTATCTAGTTTTATTTACTTTTGAAGTTTTCTTTTGATTTTTTTATATTACTATTTATTATTTTGTTATTTTGAAAAAATAGTTTTACCTTTTTTTATTTTGTTACTATATTTTTATAAATTGAAATTCTTTCTGTTATTTTTCTTTTTTATTACGTAGTATAATGTAAAATATGATTATCCTATTAATTTATGGTAAGGGAAATGTAAAATAAGAAGATAGACGGTAGTTTAGTCCTGTTTTAAGAAGATTAATCACATAGTCCTATTTGTGCATTTAGGGATTAGATTAGTCCCATTTTGAGGTTATTTTATCAAAAATATATTAGTGGTGGAATAAATGTAAGAAAGGAAAAAGAAAATAAATAAGTGTAAGTAAAAAGAAAGTAAAGTAAAAAGTTAGTATGGTGAGAAAAAGATTATTTATAAGGAAAGTAATCCGAAAAAACATATAAAAATGAAAATGAAATAATAAATGGGAAGAATAAAAAGAAGGAAAAATGGAATACATAAACATTGAAAAAAAATTGAAAAGAAATAAAAATAAGAATAAGAAGACCAAAAGGGGGAATAAAAGGATCAAGACAATAAAAATAAAAAGGGAAACATTTAAAGGAGAAAAATGAAAAAATGATTCATCGGACCGCTGAGAGAAGATTTGTGAGAGGTGAGTAGTTGAATGATTTACAAAAAAATGAAAAAATCTGAAATAACAGGTCATCAACCGGTCAGGGACGACCAATGAATGAAGATGAGGTGCAAAAGTTGGATTATTCTTGAATTTCGATAATGTGCGACTATTGTAAGAAGATCGCTAAAAGGATGGGTTATTAGTTTCCATTTTTCCTTTTAAATTTATTTAGTTTTATTAAACTAGTAAACTTTTGTGAAGAAAAGTTTATCAAAAATTAGTAAGTGAATTAATAAAAAAAATTAAATGAATCAAAACTTATCAAATGTTAGGTCCTAGATTGATATAGTTTTCCATCATTCGGATCCTATACTGATACCATCTTTCGGGTCCTGAATTGATAAAATTTCAAAAATAAGTGTAATGTTGACAATACTAATATTATATGTTTCATTATGTTAAGATATCTTATCCTATGAGCATATGACAATACAAATATACCTTTCATTAAGAAAAATATCCTATGAGAAAGGTATATCTTGATAAAATATAGTCTCTTCTTAATATACATTTTTTTGGAACAAAAGTTTATATCTTATTAGAGGAAGTGGCTATCAAGAATTCAATATGTTAATATGTATATATACCTGGAAGGGGATAAATAGTGTCTGCATTTTCAAGACAATGGAGTAACACTTGCAAGAAAGCAGCGCTGAAGGGGCATAAAACGAGAGAGGGCAGATTGAAAAGAGCGGCGACTTGGTCAACGAAGAACATGATGTTGTCATAGATGATACAAGAAACCACATCTCCCTTCTCTTCCAAATACTCCTGGAGGGGTACCCTACAATTCTTATTCATGGCATACATGATTTCTAATCCCCTACTTCCAGATATATCATCACTGGCATCCAATCCATCTGCCAAGCCGTGGAAGGAGAAGTCAGGGTGGTTTGAAGGGTCAGGCGCCTTGTATTGGGTGTGGGTGACTACGATGGAGAAGCCCTTCGAGTGAAGGATGTGTCCTAGTTGCAGCATAGGGGTGACATGCCCTTGGAAAGGGGCAGGCACCATAACCACACAGCCCCGCCGTCGTCTTTCAGCTCCGCCCTCCATTTCAATTCTGCCTCTTTTTCTTGTCTGGCGTTACTCGCAAACGGCATGCTCTAATTTATAAGTAGGCCACTACTAATGAGTAATGTCAACTTGCCTAACACCGTGGGAAAGACATTATTAGCATAGTAAATTTGACAATTTGTGACTAAGCTATAGATTAAAGTGTCAAGAAATATGAAGTGGAACAATTAATATTGCACAATATGTAAAAACATTTCGAAGTGTAGCACCGATTTAGAGAGAGAAGTGGAGCAAAGAGCTGCGAAGGGCTTAGTTTCACAGCGGCGGCGGTCCTAACAAGTCTAGGTTTTCGGCGGGCGGCGCTATAACTTTCTTGGCACTTCAGTGTCCCGGAGTTTTGCTAGTTTTCCTCATTTGAAGCACAGGATGGGGCGTGGGAGCATTCGGGATGGGAGGGTCTTGGCGAATCTCAATTGCAGCATAGGGGAGATGATAGAGATCTGGAGACTGGTTGCGTTTGGACTGGTTGTGCTCATGCGGTATGTTGGCTAAGAGATGGAGGCGAATCACGGGCAGATCAGGATGTTGAAGGAAAAAGATGAAGGGATGAAGATCCGCCCCCCTCCTGAACCGCCGCCATGCTGGAAATGGGTGATTAGGGGTCGGAACACCGCGCTGGAATATTGGTTTCAGCGGCAAGTTCATCCTGCTTAAATTCATTGTCCCCATTTTTAGTCTGTTTTCGAAGAAATTAGTTGCTATCATTTTGCTTTTGGTATTTGCTTATGGTAACAGGTTTTTGACATTGATCGAGGGTTCGGCTAGATTTGATATTGTTAGAGGGGGACGGATCTATTTTTTCAGCAATAACTGCATTAAGCCCATCTGGTGGTTAGCGATTTGTATTGCTCCTTTAGGGGTGGTCGTCTATGTGTCTAATCGTAGGGCTAAAAGTAGTAGTTGAAAGGTGAGAATTGTTGTTAGTTCTGGTCATTTTGAGATTGTTGTAACGATCCTAATTCTAATGATATCAATATAGTCGTTTTCCTTTAAAAAAAATAAAAACATTTCGAAGTAGCTGTATAACTTGTGCTATCCATTTACCAAGTATTTCATTTAAGATTTAATGTACTAAATTGTGTTAATATTAATAGTTGAAGTATCATTAATGCACTTTCACGCGTGTTAATTTAGGACACTAATCATCGCGGAGCTGTCACGGGACTGAATTGAATTTGGAAGCCTTAAACACTTGTCTAGACTACTACCCCATGGCCGGCCCTGTAGACGGGATTGAATTGAATTCTTAGGTGAGGTTCTCCTAACCGGAGCTTGGATGCAGGAGTAGACAACATGTAAAGTAACAAGGATTTTTTTAGGCTAATTTGAAGAAAAACAACATACACAAAAAGTCATCATTAAAAGTTACGTTATTGTCAACGCAGATTTACCAAATGTCTAAAGCAAAGGAATCTAAGCCTGACTTGATAAAAAGAAGAACCAAATTATTGGAAATATATGATGGTGTTTGGGAGAGTTAGAGATTAATTTCAAAATGATATACGGAGTAATTGTTTGAAATTTGCTCTTGAATTATTTATAATACAAAAAAATTGAGACATTTTATTATTTCTAAGAACCTTTGTTTATTTAAATCATGAGTTAAACTTTTAATCCCTGATTATTATGTCTGTGACACATTTGCTACTCCAATTTTAATTATCCATTTTTAGTCCGTCAACTTTTGTGCGAGAAAAACATAGTTTTCAACTTCAAATTTTTCCACACATAGTCCCCTCAGTAATGTTAAATTGACATTTTTAGTACATCCATTATGATTTTGAAATAATAAGTGAGGATTCAAAATGTCACTTTGATAATAGTTTAATGATCAAAAGTACTACTTTTATGATAGTTGATCAATAAAATATATACGTAGTAAAATTTTAAGGACGGGTACTATCTTTCACATAACAGTTGAAAAACTAAAATTGAAAATATTTAATACGAAGTATCAAATATTAAAAGTTTCTCTAACATAATAGTCAGAGAATTTAAAGTTTCAAAAACTCTTTATATCATTGTCTAAGAATACACTATGAGAAAAACATGTACACGGGGCAGAGTTAGAGATTTATATTTACATCAACACAAAGTACCGTATCGGCGTATCAAAAATGTTCTCGTATCAGATACTCTATGATACTCGTATCGTACGTTCTCGGGCTGTATCTGTAATTTATGAAAAGTTTCCAACTCTTTTGTTAATTATTTTAAAATTTTGGATACCCCGTATCCTGATGGATACATGTATCAATTACTTTTTTAAATAACAAAAACACCCAAAACTTACACAATAAAATTCTTAAAAAATGAAAAACTAAAAAAAATTACCTTGCTTTAATCTCGCACACAAAGGGAAGATGTTGTACCACTGAAGTAATTAGGATTTGCTGGAATTGGGCCTTCCTGGGCTCAAGAACAGCCCCTTACGAGAGGGTTTGACTCGTTACTGGGCTGGCTCCTCTGGGCCGGTCCAGTTTTGGTTACTTGATTTTTGTGATACGAGTCGGGGCTTGTCCCGCGTGGTTTTGGATTGTGCCATAAAAATCTCTCTCCTGCCTACCCCCTTTGGGGGTGGGGCGGGGGTTTGAATGGTTAGATACTATTTAAGTTAGTATAGCTAGCTTTCTAGTTTTGATGCATTGTACTATGCTATTTTCTGGATATATATATTTACATTTTATCCAAAAAAACAAATGTCCCTATTAAAGCCTCGATTTTTATGCCTTTGTTGATGGCCAACCAACTGTCATTGATGCCCATTATTTGGATAACCATCCACAACGAACTGCTTTGGATGCCCGAACCTCTGGTCATAGAGATTGTGTTGGCCCTACGGTTTTTTATGCTTCTGTAGATACTCGGGTTAATGCCCCCCTTGTTGTTTCAGAATTTACAGATTGTGCAACTAATGTGGAACCCTTGGTGGCTACCTGTGAAAAGGCGGTAACCATGGTCTCCACTCAAGCTGTCCGAGAGAATACCTTACTTGCCCATGATAATGTTGGCGGTGATGAATCTGCCACTCATGAATTTGCATGTGATGATCAAGCCTATGATGAAATTGTCCCATCCTTAAAATCTGGTAGTCCAATAGAAACACAGCCTAAGGAGGAGGAATGCTCGGATGGATTCACGCAGGTTAAGACAAGAAGAAACTTAAAGAATAGCTCCTCCAAGTTCCTAATGGACAACCAAGAAGACCAACAACTATACTATGAAGTTGGCTGGACTTCACACCCCATGCCATGATAACAAGAAGTCAATCCTGAAAACCTCAAAATGAATCAGACTACTTCCTTTACCCGGTAGATGCGAGGTTCGACTCACCACACAAACTTGCTCAAGCTCTCAAACGTTTCAAGTCTTCCCACCCGGAGGCAACAGTCTACCAACCTTATCTCCAAAAGACGATAAAGTTTCATAATAAATATAATAGGACCATCTCAGCTTCAGTTGGGATACCTTCTAAAAATTTTATTGGTTAAGTTACCCGTATATTGTTTAATTCGATAGGTTTTGGCTTTGTGTCCCCCTACCATGTACTTTTTTGATTTTTATAAACTGGCTTACTATATATATATATATATATATGTGTATATATATGTATATATGTGTATATATATGTATATATGTGTATATATATGTATATATGTATATATATATATGTATATATGTATATATATATGTATATATGTATATATATATATATGTATATATGTATATATATATATATGTATATATGTATATATATATATATGTATATATGTATATATATATATATATATATATATATATATGTATATATGTATATATATATATGAAAGATGAAAGTGTAAATGTGAATAATGTAGAATTAATGATTGAGAATTTGAGAGTATAGAATTTGAGTAGAAGTGAAATAGTTTGAAAAAAAAAAATGAATAAAATGATTACTGAGAAATGTAATAAATGAGTCATAAGTTTTTTACAACAGTATATGTAGATGTCCATGGATTAAACATATTTGTCATTATCACAATGAATTATTAACCTTTCATCCGATTTTTATAATAAAATCATTATTTCTTAGATTTTGTATCACTTTTTAAAGAGGATTTTTATCTAGGAGCGTTTACTTCACAATTAATTTCATTGTTAAGTTATTAACACATGTGAAATTAATATATTTTTTGGATAAAATTCTACTTAATAAACATTTTTTGTGTCTTAGGACGTGTTTACTTCATTGCTAAAAGTATAATTTGATTAGTAAAACATGTGAAATAAACACACAAACTGCTTAAAATCAGCTTAATAATCCAAATATGTGCTTAAGTGCTTTTCATTTTTTTTTATTTTTTACATTTACCCTTACATCTTATATATACACACACATACACACACACACACACACACACACACACACACACACACACACACATATATATATATATATATATATATATATATATATATATATATATATATATATAGTTCGGTTCCAGTAAGAACGATGCTTAACGTGAGAACGTGAGAACACTCACATTTAAATCAACGTGGTGCACAATAGAGCTATTCTATTTCACATTTTTAATTTGCTCGAATTAAGCCTATTTAAATAAACACGGTGGCATTTTTGTAAATATTGTGAAAATGTGAAAATGTGCAATATACAAGCTTCGTTGTGCAACACGTTGGGGTAAATGTGGTGTTCTCACGTTCTCACGTTAAACATTGTTCTCGTTTGATCTTTATTATATATATATATATATAATGTATATATATACGTATATATGCATGTGCATGTATAATACTCCTTTAAAATATACTCCCTCCGTCCCCTTTTAAATGTCTCATTTTACTATATTGGGATGTCCCTATTTAATTGTCTCATACTTTATTTAGTAAAGTTTGTGTGACTCAAAATCATTCTTACTTTATTCTTACTTTATCAGATACTATCAACCACACAAACTCACTTTTTCTTAAAACTCGTGTCACCCTCTTCCGGGACATTTAAAAGG